GGTGAAACGGCCTCTGCATCTCCACAGCCGGGAGCTGAGCTTCCTCGTCCACGCGTGGGACCTGGCAGGCAGGAAACATTCAGCCAGGGCGACGCTGCAGCTCCAGCACCGTGGCCATCAAAAGCGCCATTCTCATGTGGTATGCAGCCCCTTCCTCTGCTTCCTCGTCTCCTTGGGGGGGGGATCTTCTGGGCCTTTGGACCAGGAGCCAGGGTCTTCCTTCCCTGCGGAACCAGAGACACGGCTCTCTTTTCACAGGAGCCTGGTCGGTCTGCCCAGGCGGAGGTGCTGACTTTCCCACGATCTGGGCCTGGCCTGAGGCGGCAAAAGAGAGACTGGGTCATCCCCCCAATTCTTTGCTCTGAGCATGAGAGGGGCCCTTTCCCCAAGAACTTGGTGCAGGTAAGGACTTTGCTCCGTGGCAGCTCCGTTAGGTTAATTGGTTTCGCCTCCAGAGTTGTAATGACTTACAAATGCAGGAATCCAAAAATTCCAGCTTGTGACGGTGCTGCGTAGACATTTTGCCTAAGCCCCTTGGGATCTCACTTCAGCCAAGCTTTGGCGCCCGCCTTCTGCATCGGGCCGGGTGGCACGGCTGCCGCGGTCTGCTCTGCTCCTGGGCTCCCTGGGACCTGCCCCAGTTCCCTGTTTCGCATTCGGCGGTGGAGAGGGGCAGAGCGCGGCCGTCCCGTCCCCGTCACTGACGTTTCCATCCCGTCTCTCCAATCAGATCAAGTCCAGCAAAGAAAAAGAGACCACCGTCTTCTACAGCATCACGGGGCAGGGGGCCGACAGCCCTCCGATCGGCACCTTCACCATCGAGAGGGAAACTGGCTGGCTGAAGGTGACTCGTGCGCTGGACAGAGAGAACATTCCCAGCTACCTGGTGAGTCCGTGTCAGCTGCTTTGGCTATAAATCTTTCTTTCCGTTTTGGGCAGCTGCGTGTGGTGGGTGAGTAGGGCCCAGTGCTTGGAAATCTCCCTTGTGGAATGGGTGGGAAGCCGAAGACCAGGGCTGCCTCTGGGAAGCCATGCCAGCTGCCAGGCCGTTTGCCAGTACACAAGAGTCCCTTTTTGGCAATGCCTGCATTTCTTTCCTGCCGGGAGATCCTTCAGGAAACCCTGCTTAGAAGCAGGTGACTCTCGGGGAAAGCCGCCACTTCCTTGCTCCTAAAGCAACTGTGTTTTCTGCCCAGTAAAAGTTCCAGGCCCTTTCATGGGGGTCTCTAAAGTATCTGAGAGGATCTCCGGGTCCCCATCCCATGGCTTCGTATTACCCTGTGGAGTCCATCCCTTGTCCATTGGGTCAGGCTCTCCAGAGCTGACAGCGGTGGGTGCCAGGAACCGTTGCTCTCCATGAAAAATGCTGCCGGTGGCTTCTCTTTTCTTCCCCTGGTGAATAACACCCTTTCTCTGCTTTTCAATGTAGCTGTTATGCCACGCGGTGTTAGCCAATGGGCAAACAGCAGAGGAGCCCATGGAGGTCACCATCAAAGTCGGTGACCAGAATGACAACCGCCCAGAGTTCATCAAGGACATCTTCCAAGGGTCTGTGGAAGAGGGAGCTAAACCAGGTAGGAAAGGCTACTGGAGGGTACAAGCCTCCCTCCTGCTGCGTTCCGGCCCTCTGGGGCACAGGCACAGTCCCTCCTGGTCAGAGCCATCCAGACCACAAGCTGAGACCATCCAGCCCGCGCAAGCCCCATAATTTCAGCTGTGGCATAGAGTGGTCAGTCACTGCTGCAGCTGGAGGTGCTCATATTTCCCAGAAGCCAGAGGCTGTTTTGGCTGGCTGGTGCAGGCGGAGTCGGACTCGTGCCCAGCTCCTGGGCTGGTTTTAACAGAGGCTTTAAGCAGCCCCTGTCTTGGGTGTCCCCAGGAACTTCTGTGATGACGGTGTCAGCCGTGGACAAAGACGACGCGGTGGATTCCTATAATGGGGTCATCACTTACTCCATCCTCAGCCAGGAGCCACCTGAACCAGAAAGACAGATGTTCACCATCAATAACGAGACCGGCCTGATCAGCGTTGTTGTGGCAGGTCTAGACCGAGAGGTAAACGCCTAGTGGTTGGGTGGAGGGGTTCCGAGCAAACCGTTTCTACGATGGGAATTAATCGAGGGAAGGGTCGCATCTCTGTTGTGCTGCCTTCAATCCAGAGGGATGGGGGATAATCCAGGGGCTCTTGCGCAGTGGTTTGTCCTAAAGCGAGCTATGGTTGGTCCTGCAGACAAGAAGCGCAGCCAGGAGCACTGGCTCTACCTTTAGTGTAAGGCTACATAAACAGAATCTTCCAGGATTGAAAGCGCTTCTCCCCTCCTTTCCTTTCACTCTCCAGAAAGGGGCTCTTCCCACGCCCCTTTTCCTTCGGTGGGCCGGGATACCTTCTGCACGTCAGTTGTCCAGCCTGTGGCTCTTGGTCTCCCAAGGCCATTCCCACAGACCATGCCGGCTAGGAGCTTCTCACACAGCAGTTGCCTTTTGGGAGGTTACCAGGATGTGTGTTCTCATTTCAGAGATGCCCCAAGTACACACTGATTCTGCAAGCGACTGACATGCTGGGGCTAGGCTTAAGTAATACTGCGACAGCTGTGATTACCATCACCGACACGAACGATAACGAGCCAACCTTTAAGCCACTCACGGTAATGTTGGGACTTGCCCCCCTTTGTGCCTAGCAATGCTGGTGTCATCGTCCACGGTGGCGTCCCGTTCCCTTGGGCCGGACTTTTCCCCGGCCAAGACAGGCCGCCTGCTCTCCTCTGACAGCCCCCACTTCTTTTGTAGTACAACGGAAGTGTGCCGGAGAATGCAGTGGGGGCCCTCGTGGCCACCCTGAAAGTCATAGATGCAGACGAAAAGGACACCCCGGCCTGGAAAGCAAAGTACAGCATTGTGAAAGGGAATGAGGGACAGGACTTTGCGGTCACTACTGACCCTAACACCAACTACGGTCTCTTGACCACAGCGAAGGTGAGCAGTGGGCCCCTTCTTTTGGGGGCCAGAATCCTGTTTGTCCCCAGCCCCATAACCTGCTGGAATGTTAACTTTGGGGGTTCCATCCAAGTGAGAATTGCTGACTACCTCTGGCCCGGCCAACTCTCATTTTCTCCCTCTTTCACGTCCTTTCAGAAACTGGATTATGAGACCAAAAACCGGTATATTCTCGAAGTGTCTGTAGTGAACGAAGTCGACTTCTCAGTCCGTCTCCCGACATCCACGGCCACCGTCACCGTCACTGTGACAGACGAAAATGAACCGCCGGTCTTTGTTCCACCTGAAATGAGGGTGTCAAAGCCAGAAGATCTTCCTGCTGGGCAGCCAATAATCCAGTACACGGCCCAGGACCCTGACACGTTCCTGCAGCAAACCCTCAGGTACGGGGGTCTGGAGAGATGCCGTTCAAAGGCTGGACGGGGAAACCCGGAAGCCGCTGCAGGCCCCTTGTTCTGAAAGGCACCGGCCGAGCCCAGGGACTGTTTCTTCTTGCAGGTACGCGGTGCGGAGCGACCCAGCAGGATGGCTGAAAATTGACCCTGAAACTGGCCTGATTCAGTCAAAAGCCAGCCTAGACCGAGAGTCGGATTTTGTGAAAAACAATATCTACAAAGCAATCATTGTGGCAAGTGACAATGGTAAGAGAGGACTGATCTTTCTTTTCCCCAAGACTCTGCATTTGGTCCTGCACCCAAACGCAAAAAAACCTGTGCAGCTGGGGGTGGGGTGAGGAGGGGTGCCACCCAAGGATATGGGCCCCTGGCAGCGCTGCCCTTCTCTGGCCTTTCCCCCGACCAACCCAGGACCTGCTTTGCTGCTTCGCCAGGAGGAGTTCTCTGAAACTTCTGCCTCCTGCAACTTCACGTTTGTCTTGTGAAAGTGCCTTTTCAAACAAGGAAGCCGCAAAAAGCAGAAATGACTGTGTAAAATACTGAAGACTTCTAGAATTAAGAGGGGTGTGCAGTCCACACCAGTATGACACCTTTCCCCAAATTGGGGAAATTAGGTAGATTAAATGTTCCACGATAAGGGAGCCATGACAGGGAAGGCCCTGCTCAGCCTCCCACCACCGTCATGAGGACTCTGAACATGAGCTTTCCACATCTCCACCAGAGGAAGGGGGAAGCGGCTGGGTAAACGCATGGCACGTTCACGCCCTCCTGTGGCTGGGTATCCCCCTTAGCCAGAAGCAAGCCCCATTCTAGGGCAAATAAGCTTTGGGGCTCAGCTGATGGGAAGGGGGCAACCTGCAGCCATGGGCACCATATGTGGCGCCAAACGTTTTTGTTGTGTTTTTAATTGTTATCTTCTCTGTAAACCACCCAGAGTCGCTCTTTAATGAGATGGGCAGTGACAAATTTGATATATAAACGAACAAACAAACACCTCCAGATTGCACTGGGAAAATGTGTGATTTCAGGCCATTCTTCATTATTGGGGGAGTTGGGGGGGATAAAGATGGAGATGGGAGCCTCCTACCCTGTCCACAAGTTCTGAAATGCCCTGGAGAAAACCGGTCTGGTCCTTCTAGTGCAGTGTTTCTCAACCTTGGCAGCTTTGAGATGTGTGGCCTTCAACTCCCAGAATTCCCCAGCCAGCTGGGTGGGGAATTCTGGGAGTTGAAGTCCACACATCTTCTAGCTGCCAAGGTTGAAAAACACTGTTCTAGTGGCACAGCATCACTGGCCATATGCCTTCCTGGGGCTGTCTGGAAGGTGTAGAGACTTCGGTGCTGCTCTGATGCCCCAACACTGCTGGTGCCACTGCCTTCCTTTGGAGCAGCTACTCACCCCACCGTTTCTCTCCAGCGAAGCAGCCGGCCACCGGCACGGGGACTCTCCTTTTGCACCTGGAGGACGTGAACGACAACTGGCCAGAACCGGAGCCCCGAACGTTTGACGTCTGCAACCGTAATCCAGAGGCCCAAGTGCTAAACATTGTGGACAAGGATCTCCCACCCAACACCGGCCCCTTCTCTGCAAAGCTGGAATTTGGCTCCAATGCCAACTGGACAGTCCAGACCAACAAGGGTAGGCCAGAGGGTCAGCTGCACTCGGGGCAGTCCAAGGGAGGTGGACAGTCCAGCATCTTCAGGTTGAGTGGTCAGCGTAAAAAAGCTTCCTGCTTTCCTCTGAACTCTTTCCTCATTCTCTTCTCCAAAATTTGCATTAAAATAACAGAGGGAGATGTCATTGGTGTTGATCTTCAAAGCTATTAATTACATAATTACTATTTTAAAGTTTAAGTAAAATAGAGCAAGTTTTAGGGCAAATAGGGATAAATCCCCAACCCTCACCTGCATCCTGGCTGGTTGTCCTTTGCAGACAGTCTGACCCTTCTCCTGACCAAGCAGCTGGAGCCCGGGGAGTACAACATCGCCCTCAAATTGACCGACGGTCAGGGCCTGTCTCACGTCACAACCGTGAAAGCCGCTGTCTGTAACTGTGAAGGGTCGGCCAAAAACTGCGATCGAAAGGCATTTCTGCCAGCAACGATACAGACCTCGGCCATTCTGGGCATCCTTGGGGGCATCCTGGCCTTTCTGAGTGAGTACTGCATACCCTTTCTCCTTGTCAGCCCAGGTTGAACCAGGTGTGCTCCTCTTGATGGGCCACCTGCAAAATGCTGTGCTTCGTGGAGCCTGAAAGTCTCCAGCTTGGATGCGTCACCCACCCAAGGAGCAACTTGGGGGCTCCTGCAGACTCTCGCCAGTGAAGAAGCGAGAAGGTGGGGGCCTGGATTTTGTTCAGAGCTGGGGAGAATTGCTCTTTCTCCTTCCTGGCTGCTGGAAACGCTTGCTTCCTCCAAGATTTTGCAGGCATGTTGTCCGGGCCTGGCAACCATGAGAAGTGACCATTTGTGTCCTCCTACTTGTGTGGGCATCCAGGAGACTAGAGCTCTGCATCAGATAAATCTGCTTGAGAGCTGTTCATAGTGTTCTGGTGGTATCCCGGTAGGAAAAGTATTCCCAGACCAGATCTCTGTGGGCACTGAAGTCCTGGCCGTGTGGTAGCAAGGTGGTCTCCAGTTGTGCCAGGAGCTGGTAGGATGGCGCTCACGGGGCCTCCTGTGACAATCTGCCGCTTTCAACTCCCAATGCCAGTAACTCTCTTGCAACCGATAAGGGTTCAAAGAAAAGTTCATTTACTGAGAAAAAGTGTAGCATTGGTAAGACTGAGCCCACGCATGCCGAAAAGTTACTTTTACCCCCTTTGGTTCCCGTGCTCCCCCCTTTGCCTTCCAGACATTTGCACATTCGCCCGTTGGTACGACCTTGAGCGTTCCTGCCCTGTGATGACAACCCATCTGCTTCTAACATCTTCCCAGCTCCCCCCCCGCTTCTCCTAATGGCAGAACCGAGGCAAGCAGGCAAGCCAGCAAGCAAGCTGGTTGATTGATTGTGAGGATTCTGACACCTCCCTACCCTTATCTTGTAGTCCTGCTGCTGCTGGTGGTCCTGTTTGTGAGAAGGAGAAGGCAGGTGAAGGAGCCCCTGCTCCCTCCTGAGGACGACACGAGGGACAACGTCTACTACTACGACGAAGAAGGCGGAGGGGAGGAGGACCAGGTGGGTCTCTGGCTCTTGGGCCCCAAGGGACTGGGCTGCTCCTCCTCAGTCCCCCATAGAATTTGAGCCCTGAGTGGTGCTCCTCCTCCCCGCAACCCATTTCCTTTCCGTGCGCCACTTCTTGCCCTGGGTGTGTGCATCATCTGGCAAGGTGGCCCTGCTTTGATTGGCCTCCTGCACATGAGTGTCTTCCATTGGGCTGGAAGCAAGCTATGGCCAGGCATTTGCTTGATCTATTTCGACTGTTCTGTTTACACGTTCTCCAGTGGCTCTGGTTAAAATGACATCTTTAAGCTTAGATTTAGAAAGGAATCCCTCCAGGGTTAGTGCTATGGCCAAAGTAAGAGTGACCCAAACAAAACCATTTTGTTCTTCCAAGGGAAAGAAGAGAATGTCCTCTGTGTTCACTTTCTGTGCTGGAGGAAGATTTTCTTCCTGGCTGTCGGCCACCACTCCTGATTTTGATCAGCTCAAAGTCCTGGAGTTTTTTTCCTCTACCCAAGATCCTGATGGCATTTTCTCTTCCTAGGATTATGATCTGAGCCAGTTGCATCGCGGCCTGGATGCCCGCCCTGAAATCACCCGTAACGACGTGGCTCCGACGCTCATGCCAGCCCCACAGTACCGACCACGCCCTGCCAACCCTGATGAGATAGGCAATTTCATTGATGAGGTGAGTGGGACTTGGGGCCCAGTTTGCTGGTGGTTACCCAGTTCATGGACACGAACCAGATACTCCTGTTCCTGAGGTCATTTGCCCCTGTGATGCTCTTTGACTACAGATAGTTCTGCCCAAATGGTGTTTTCCTCCCCTGCCAACAGCAGCTTTTGAACCCGGAAATGCCAAAGGGAAAATCTTTATCAACTAAAAAGCAATCACTTCTATCCCCTCCCTGGTAGAGGCTCAACCTGATGTCCAGAACAAAAAAGTTAATCAAAAACAATTTTAAGAACAGCAAGAAGAGATCTCTAGCAGCATTAAAGCAGGCTAGTGAAGTCCATCACCAGCCTTTTGACAGCTAGGCTGGATATGTGGGGGCCTTTGCTTTATTTGCATTCAATGTGAAAACACAGAAGGCTGCTCTGGAAGGAGGAGAAAGCAGTCTGTGTAACGCTGGCAGTCTGCTTGGTTGCTACGCCAGAGGATCTCCTCTGCCTGCAGCACTGAAGAGCAGTGGGTGGGTTGGTAGAGAGGAAGACTCCCTCCTTCTGCCAGTCTCTTCACTCGCCTGGCAAACAGTCTAGTCATCTCAAGTGACCGAGCACTTGGTGAGAAGAAAAATGTGGGCAAGAAAGCTAAATCATAGCTGCTCAATAGCTCTAGATACAGCCTGGATAGAGACAGTGTAGTCCAGTGTCTCTCAACCATGGCAGCTTGAAGATGTGTGGACTTCAATTCCCAGAATTCTGGGAGTTGAAGTCCTGCTGT